GTTTGCACCTGTGCTCCCATCCTTCTCTATGGTTACAAGTGAGAATTAGTACCTTTAACCAAAGCTCAATCCATGCACCTGTGGCTTGGATCCCAGTGTTCTTCCACATTCTCACTTCTGATCATTTTTTCTCTCTCTTGCGTTTCTAATGTATCCCTCCCAGTGGATTCATTCCATCAGCTTTAAAATGTGCTCAGGTCATTTCCATGAAAAGTAACAACACAACGATAGGGATAAAATACCAATATCCCAACTGAGTTGTATGATTCTCACTTCCCACTCTTTTAGTCTCTCCTATTTGGCTTCCACCTTCATCATTCTACTGAAACTGTGCTTAATGATCTGCAGGAACATTGTGTATAAAAGGAAACTAGCTATTTGCCCATGATGAGAATGTCAAATATGTTTTTTTGGTCTATCATTTTTCCTTTGTGTTTATGGTGAAACTTGCTTCATGGATTAAAAAAAAATTGTCTCTTCAATTTTATCAATCTTTTCTGTATGGCTGCTGGGTTTGGGCATACACAGGAAGTCCACTTCTTTGAGGGACTTCCCTGGTGGTCCAGTGGGTAAGATTTCACACTTCTAATTCAGGAGGCCCAGGTTCAATCCCTGGTCAGGGAACTAGAGCCCTCAGGCATGCCACAACTAAGAAGATCGCATGCTGGAACTATGAGCCTGCATGCCACAATTAAAGATCCCGCGTGCTGCAGTGAAGATCCTGTGTGCCGCAACTAAGACGCCGTGCAACCAAAATAAATAAATACATAAATTTATTTTTTTAAAAAAAGAAAGTCCACTTCTTTGAGATTATAAATGATGCTTTGGTAATCTCTCTGGCTTGTCGTATTTTAGATTTGAGGACATTTTATATGTCACAGTTGTAATTTTGTCTTTTTTTAAAAAAAAGTTTGTCTTTTTTGATGGGGAGAACAAGGTGATTGGGAAAATGGTGAATGAGTATGATCTGCCCATTCAGTTCTACAGAATTCTTGTAGGTTAAATTTGGCATCTACTGTTTTCATTATTATTATTGTGTATTTTTACCTCTCTGAATAACCTTTGTGCAAATTCTTGGATAAAGAAAGAATTGCAATAGGTGCCCAAAAAAAGTTCAAAAAGTAATGTGAAAGCTCATGTGGCTGTATAGTAGTATTTTACTCTGCACTGCACATAATTGTTATCACCAGATTAGTAATCTGGAGAAAGAATGAGACCCAGGACATATAGCTCAAGATAATTAAGAAAAAAGCTTTATCACATAAGGCCCCCATGTGGCAGTTTAATGGCACACTGTACATAGAAAAGATGGTTTAAGGCAAAATCTTGTTCAGCAAGTGCCAATGTCAACTGAATCCCCCTAAAAGTAGCATTTGAAAAAATAACATTATCACCTAATCATCTAAGATGGAGTTTTACCAAGTCTTCAGTCATAAATATAAATTCATAGTACAAATAATATGAAAATGTACTTGAAAGGCTAGAAAGCCAATTTTGAGAATAATGACACCTCACTTTTCTCTGTTTGACATGACCACTCATTTTTGTCTTCCTGATACATGTTTCAGACATATGTGTTCTCTCACTCCTGAAGGACAAAGCAGCATGGAATTTTCTTGATAACTGATGGCTTTCCACTCTCTTTTCTATGCAGTTTTCTTTTTTTTTTAACATCTTTATTGGGGTATAATTGCTTTACAATGGTGTGTTAGTTTCTGCTTTATAACAAAGTGAATCAGTTATACATATACATATATTCCCATGTGTCTTCCCTCTTGAGTCTCCCTCCCTCCCACCCTTCCTATCCCACCCCTCCAGGTGGTCACAAAGCACCGAGCTGATCTCCCTGTGCTATGTGGCTGCTTCCCACTAGCTATTTATTTTACGTTTGGTAGTGTATATACGTCCATGCCACTTTCTCGCTTTGTCACAGCTTACCCTTCCCCCTCCCCATATCCTCAAGTCCATTCTCTAGTAGGTCTGTGTCTTTATTCCTGTCTTACCCCTAGGTTCTTCATGACATTTTTTTTTCTTAAATTCCATATATATGTGTTAGCATATGGTATTTGTCTTTCTCTTTCTGACTTACTTCACTCCGTATGACAGACTCTAGGTCTATCCACCTCATTACAAATAGCTCAATTTCGTTTCTTTTTATGGCTGAGTAATATTCCATTGTATATATGTGCCACATCTTCTTTATCCATTCATCCGATGATGGACACTTAGGTTGTTTCCATCTCCGGGCTATTGTAAATAGAGCTGCAGTGAATATTTTGGTACATGACTCTTTTTGAATTATGGTTTTCTCAGGGTATATGACCAGTAGTGGGATTGCTGGGTCTTATGGTAGTTCTATTTGTAGTTTTTTAAGGACCCTCCATACTGTTCTCCATAGTGGCTGTACCAATTCACATTCCCACCAGCAGTGCAAGAGCGTTCCCTTTTCTCCACACCCTCTCCAGCATTTATTGTTTGTAGACTTTTTGATGATGGCCTTTCTCACTGGTGTGAGATGATATCTATTGTAGTTTTGATTTGCGTTTCCCTAATGATTAGTGATGTTGAGCATTCTTTCATGAGTTTGTTGGCAATCTGTATATCTTCTTTGGAGAAATGTCTATTTAGGTCTTCTGCCCATTTTTGGATTGGGTTGTTTTTTTGTTATTGAGCTGCATGAGCTGCTTGTAAATTTTGGAAATTAATCCTCTGTCATCTATGCAGTTTTCATCTGTGTTTAAACAACAGTTTCAATTTGAGTAGGGTAAACCTCCTTACAAGCCTCTATGTCACCACAGAGCCGACAAGAAATGTTTGGCAACAAGTGCACTGACCTGGAAAAACCTCCTACTTTTATTCATGTGAAAGATAATGTTTAAAGTCTGTCTGAATTGTTTCTTATAATTTTAATATCTGAATATTTATCGTAGTAAATTAGTTAAGACAGTTTTTTTTCTACATGTATTTTCATTCTACTATGATTAGGATGAGTGGATGAAAGGGCTCAGTCTTTGCCCTAATGATTTCAAATAGAGCTTTAAAATTTTTTACAACCTCGGAAATTAGTAACCTACAGCTTTAATATACATAACTGTTTTAAAAGCGTTCCACATAGAGTAACAGTAACCTCCTGTAGTACTTTGTATAATATATAAGAAGTACAGAGGTATCTACACTATATCTATATATCTATTCTATAATATTCTTTGACAGGAATGTCAAAACCAGAGTTGGAAGTTTAATGGATTTTAGAACCACCAAAACTGTAAAATTAGAGTAAAATAATTCCAAATGTGACTTCCAGTTAAATTTAATGAACATTTGAGAACCTGTTCTATGCACACCACCGTGCTAGGCTCCACAGGGATAGCTGTCAATAAGGATTTCACTCTAAAATCTGCACATATTCATTTGCAGCAACATGGATGGATCTAGAGATTGTCATCCCGAGCAAAGTAAGTCAGACAGAGAAAAAGAAATATATGATATCCCTTATACGTGGAGCCTAAAAAGAAATGATACAAATGAAGTCATTCACAAGACAGAAACAGACTCACAGACTTATAGATCAAACTTACGGTTACCAGAGGGGAAGGGGGGGGGAAGGGATAGTTAGGGAGTTTGGGTTAGACATGTACACACTGCTAAATTTAAGATGGATAACCAACAAGGACCTACTGCAGAGCACAGGGAACTCTGCTCAATGTTATGTGGCAGCCTGGATGGGAGGGGAGTTTCGGGGAGAATGGATACATGTATATGTATGGCTGAGTGGCTTTGCTGTGCACAGGAAACTATCACAACTCTATAATGGGCTATACCCCAATATAAAATATAAAGTTAAAAAAAAATCTGGGCACATTGATGCAAAGAGAGGTGAACGGCCGACCTAGATGAGGACCAGAGAACTCGGGCCGAAGCCAGGACCTCCCTGCTTGTAAGGCCGGAGGGGTGGAGAGGCTCTGGAAAGTGGGCGCTAGGTTCCAAACACTGCCCGGAGGCTCACCGCCCCCCCCCCCAACTAATTCCGGGGGCACTACCCAGGACGGGAGAAGGGTGAAAGGAGCAGAGTGTACACTCGCACCGCTCTCGTTCTTCTGTGGGTGGTCAGTCCGGGCTGCAGGCCTTGCTGGGGGCTAGGGTAGGAGCGAAGTGGCGGCAAAAATCCCACCACCAGACGCCGCAAGAGGGATGTTCTGCGGGCAGTTTGCCTCTTTGGGCTATCTGTAGCTGTCTACTAGGCCAGGGGAGGGCGGTAGGACAAAAGAAAATCCGCTCCCTTCCTGGGAGTCAGCCCTGGGTCAGGTGCGGGAGCCGGCGCTGCAGCTGGCTCGGCGTTGTAGCTACGGATGCCACTAGGCTGGGGAGTCAGATTCTGGGAACGGGATCAGCCGTTAGAGCTAGCGATCCCAGCCGTTAGCTGGGCTCCGGGCAAGGGTCGTCAACACGTCCGGAGCAATCCCGAGTCCCGCATCCCACAATCCCCAGGCCAGCTGCGGCGCTGCTCCCCTGAGTGCAGACTGCCTGCGGCTCACCGGCTGAGAGCGCGGGCCGGGCGTCTTGACAGCTGCCCACGCGCCTGGGCGGGGCTCTAGCAGATTGCTTTAAAGATCTGCGCGGCCAGCCCCGCCCCTCGCGCGCTGCGATTGGCTCCAGCTGGGGCGGCGTTGGCCCGATAGAGGCAGGGAGGGCGTAGCTGCGCGCGTGAGGCCCGTGGCTCTCTGCGGTGCCCGCAGCTGGGGAGCCAGTGGCGGCCGAGCGCGGGTGGTTGGGCCTGCGGGGCCGGCGGGCACGCGCCTGCGCGGCCGCCGAGGTCCCTGGGGGAAGTAAGGGAGCTGCTGACGCCGGCCTGCACGCGCCTCCCGGCGGCTGGCGGCGCGCGCAAGGGTGGGGGTGGTGCGTGCGTGTGTGTGGTGTGCGTGCGTGTGTGTGGTGTGTGTGTGTGTGTGTGGAGCTCTGGCGCGGAGCGCCAGCCGCTAGTCCCCTGGTGCGAATCCCCCACCGTCCTCCACAGCCTCCCTCCGTCCCCCCCTCCTTCCCTTCCACCCTCCCGCGGCCCCACGGCCGCAAGCAGAGCGAGAGCCCGGGGAAGCAGGTGTGGGCAGCGGGCGGGGTCGCACGAGACAAAAGGGGCGCGGGGGTCAGCCCGCCATGGCCTCCCGGAGCCTGGGGGGCCTGGGCGGGAACCGCGGCGGGGGCGGCGGCGGAGGCAGGAAGAGCCTGAGCGCCCGCAACGCCGCGGTGGAGAGGAGGAACCTGATCACGGTGTGCAGGTACGGAGCGGCCCGCCGCTTGGGAGAGAAGAGGGGTGCTGCCGGCGCCGCGGGCTCAGGGTTGGGGCGAGCGCGAGCCCCTGGGGGTCCCGGAGATAACGGGCTGTAGCCCCGACCGCTACCGCGCCGGGCGTGTCCGCAGCGCAGAGCGTTCAGAGGGGGCCGGTCTGGGTACCGCCAAGGCCCCGGACTTTCCATCAATTTCACTGGTGGGAGCAGCTGAGGGTAGGGCTTGGGGCGGGGCTGGGGGAGGATTTGTTTCGAATGTGCAATCTAGTGCCTGAGTAAAAGAGGAGGGCAGGGGAAAAGAGCTCTTTCATTTAGTGCGCGTTAAGCTGTCGGGCAGCTTTTAGTAAAGTAATCGTTACTGTGATTGTTTACTGTGTTGCCTCAAAATCGGAGTGCGTTTTGTTTGTGTTTTGGCTTGTTTACATATATATTGTCCTTTCGTGCCACAAATATTAAGTGCCTACTACATGCTAACTGTGTGTGTGTGTGTGTGTGTGTGTGTGTGTGTCTCCGTCTCCGTCTGTGTCCTCTCCACTCTAAATTGCAGTGTTAGTGCTGTTTCTGCAGTTGAAAGCAAGAGTGGGACTGTCGAGGATACCTCGTCAGTGATTTATTTCAAGATCTGCCTTTCTTTAGTTGTTTTCTAACTGTAATTGTAGTATTCCCTTACTTTAGAAAATGTAGAAACATAAGAGGAGTAATGACTTTCAGCCAGCCCAGTATTCAGAAATGACTAACTTTTAACATGCTGACATTTTCTTTAAGTCTTGTTTCTGGGTATTAAAAAAAATTGAAGTCCTAAGCATTCATTCCTTAGGAACTTCTTTAAACCATTAAGCTGCTGTAAAATTAGGTTGTTCCATCAAACCCCTCTTCATCAGCTGTCGAAAATCCTGTAAGAATGAGAGAATGATGAGACCTTTTCCTCCTTTGCAATTTATATCTGTATTTTTTTCTTTTCCTTATGTAAATAATGTCTAGCATCTTAAGCAGAATATAGGTATTTATACTAGGGCTATATTCAATAACTTTCAAATATATATTCAAACTTTCAAAATAACAAGTGATTTTTTTGTTTTTTTTTTTCACCTTAGACTATTACAGCTGTTTGTCCATCTAGCAGGAAGACCTGCCTTACGTACTTATATGGCACTTGGAGTTATAAACAGTAAAATATTAATATGGAATCTGTTGAATTTACCATTTGTGCTGTCTAGCATGCAACCTTTGGAGGAAGATAGGTTGTATGAAATTTTTTTTACATCTAAGCAAATTTCTAAAAATTAGGTAAATAGAACAGTAAGCAAGGCTGATTTTCTTACCTTTACATATATTAAAAAGAATTATTTTTTAAAAAGAGGATGTTTTCAAGCAGACCCCAACATATACACTGATTCTTGGGGTGATGTATTTCATAAAGGCTCCATAAGTGTTAAGCTTCACAGGGCAGCGACCATGTCTGCTTTTTGCTCAGTTTTCTTTTTTCTTTCATTCTTCCTACCATAGCATCTGACACTCAGTAAATATTTATTGTATGAGTAAATCCAGTGGAGGGTAACAGTGTTTGTTTTGGGGAATTTTGTTTTGTAGTAGTGGCAGCTGAAGTGATTTTGAGTGTTTGCAGCGTGGTGTTAATTAACCAAATGTTTCAACCTAAAACTTTAAACACCTGGGCTGACATATATTGCTCTGAATCAGTGTGGCAATCTTTGGAATGGTGGATGTTGAAGATTTGGGGTAAAACACAGTAGATGGGAAGAGGTTTTATGCTCCACTCATTTTTTAAGACAGAATAAAAACAAATGAGAAAAAAAATCAGTGAAGAGTACTATTCCCTTTGCATCTCCATTTTTGTCACGGCATCAGAGGCAGTTCAAGAGAAGAAAGGGACTTGTACCTCAACCTTATTTAAGATACCTGTTATGTTTTAAGAAATTTCAGTCACATCACACTGATTGGTGTGGACTGTTGTCTGGGCTAGCTGTATTTTTGTTATGTTTATTTGCCTAATTCTTGTTCTCTACTCTGAAGTGAGTATAAGTGCTGACTTTGGTTACAGTTTACATGTAAATTTAGTATTGTAGCTAAAATAAATTTCAATTTCTGGCTTAGATTTCAACTTGTTTATTTTTTATGTGGATAATACTACAAACACTGTTCTTCACGTCCAGATAGTTGATGGTGCATATAAATTATTATCCTTGTGTAGTAATGGGATGTATTTGTTAGGCTTTGTCTAAAAGCCTTCTATTTTTTGGAAAAAAGTCACTGTAGGCCATTTGGATGTTTTGAGTATCCCCACGTAAATTCAGCAAAATGAGCAAATCAGTATTTATGCATTTCTGTCGGTTTTCACTTTCAGAGTTAACCAAACCCTGGGTATCTCACCCATGTCCCTTAATGAATTTATTTAAAAATTTTTATGTAGCAGATCAGACATGATTTGGTATTTAAGTTGGGAAGAAGCTGGTATAGTGGACATATAATTGAGTTCTAAGTTTACTTTGTCATTAATTGTGTGTCCTTTAATAAGCCCATTTTCTAGTTTTCTCATCTGTAAAATAAACTTGGACTAGATCATTGGTAATCTTCAATGACAGCCCTGAAACTAATAATAGTCTTCAAGCAGAATGAGTTTATATTTGGTTTTGAATTTCTCCAAACATGATCAGGGTAATGGTAGACATATGTTTAATGGTAGCTGGATGAGGCATGTGCATTTTTCTCTGTAAACAAAAACATTTTGAATTGTGCCTTCCGTATTGTGACTCACTGCTGATATTCTGGAAAAATGGAACAGTATAGAAAGCCAAACCAAACCAAAACAAACTCCCCCCACCCCCTGACTATCATTCTATCATATGTATTAATACTTATACAGTAATGATTTTCATTATCCCTTAAACAGTTTAGGCATACTGTAGTCTCAGTTTAGGTTTACAACCTTATTATGTAACTACACAATTTTTTCAGTTTAAAAACGCCTTATAGTAGAACACTATTATTACAGTTTAAACTTTGGAAGTGAGTTATTTTGTTAGGTGAGATAGTTAGGAATTGAATTTTGGTTCATTGTGATTGTGTATGTAATTATTTCATCAGTTGTATTTTTTCATGAACATTTATATATTATAGACTAAAAACACTTAGTACTTCTCTCAGCAGATAAGTACTCTTTTATCATATTTTTCACAGATTGTGGTGGAGAGAAAGTAGGTCATTTGAGATCTCTAAGTGTTCCACACTCAACTCCAAGATATTCATAGACTGACTTTAGTTCTGTGGACCAACTAGTATTTTCCCTGCATATTCTCTACCATTTAGAAAAATTAAATTGTTAAAGTCCTTCAGGATTTTTTTTTAACCTGCATTTTTCATCCATAGAAAATCAGGTACTACTCATTTTTTTCTATCATTTTTAAGCTTCATAGGTTATTGAAAAACGTACATATTCCTTTGATTTTAGTTCTGGTGACAAGGAGAATTAAAATATAAATTCTCTTTCTGTGGGTTAACATCAGTTTATGAAAAATAAATTATTGAGATAAACATTTAAATATACATGGATAAATATTTTAAAATAACATTTGTTAAATGTTTAAACCAGTTCTTTAAGAGAAACTCCCCACACAGTCATAAGTTTCCCGTCTTGTGCATGGAAAGGATTAATGAGAGATTGAAAGAGGTAGTATGATGAGCTAAGCACAGTGGAGACCAGTGATGATTTTCAAAATTAAAGTACTTTTAATATGTACATAGTTCTTAGTTTTCTATAGGTCAAGATATTATTTCATAACATGAATGTTAATTTAAATAACAGTAGCACCTCATTTTCTCAGTGTTTTTGGGAAATGAGGTGCTCGTATTTTTCATGTAACTGATGTTTGAGTTAAAATTCTCCTATCAACTGCAGTGCTTTACTCAGCATTTATTGTGGGGTGCAATCTTCCGTATAACTGAAGCTTGTAAATTAAATGTTCAGATTTAAACTACAATAAAGAATATTTTAAACATTTTGGATGAACTCCTTTTAAAAAAGGATTATGTAGGGAGTTCCCTGGTGGCACAGTGGGTGAGGCTCCGCGCTCCCAGTGCAGGGGGCCTGGGTTTGATCCCTGGTCAGGGAACTAGATCCCACATGCATGTCACAACTGAGAGTTCGCATGCCACAACTAAGGAGCCAGCGAACCGGACCGAAGGAGCCAGCCTACCACAACTAAGACCTGGAGCGACCAAATAAATAAATAAACATTAAAAATAAAAAGGATTATACATTTCCCTACCTTATTTAAAAAAATTCTACGTAGTATAATATAATCCTTATCAGTGACTTTACTCTGGATCTGTTTCCGTGTATATACCCTGTGTAGTGGTTGCCCTTGGAGACTCTTGAGGAACATAGAGCTGTTTGCTACATGGCCTCAGAAGATTGTGTGTTTGGAGTTCTTGGTCTGTTTTTGCATTTACTGTCTCCTCCTACCAAGTTAGCTGTTATTTCTTGCAACTCTGCCTGTTTCTACCAGCTTTTTTCTTTGTGCTTCTCATCCTGACTTGCTCATTATAATTGGTTGTGAACTAGGAAAACAGAGAAGTAAATTTGTTTATTTTTTTGTTGAAAAAAAAAAGTCACTGAGTCCTGAGTTCAGTGAGTGACCTTTAGCACTCTGAACTTCTTAACATTCTGGTTGCTGAATAATCGGAAAAAAATGATCTATTCCTATGCTTAAGCAGGGTGGAGGCATTGCAGATATGTGAAATATTACCAAGTATTATTGGTGGTATAATCCTCTAAATAACTTTAAATTCAGTGACTTACTTTCCTGGTTACTATTGATATTTGCTTGAGAATGCCCTTTTAAGACTGTTCATACCTTGCCTCTTGTGATTATATTTTTGGCTAAAGCTCTTTTAGTCATGCTTTATGTAGTAGAACTTTGGGTTGGGACTTTGAGCAACATTATCTGTACTGTATTGCTTTGGAGCAGGTTCAG